GTGCAAAGCCTGCCTTTCTGGATAGTGCATTTGTGGTAATCTCTGCTCAGAATGAGGCACGCTACACTTGAATTTCATTTTCCTGCACTGTTTGGTGGAAGACAACAATTTATTTACATATATATGTATATATATATATTTATTTATATATATATTTGGTTAGTCTACTTATTTACATTTCAGTTGTTATCCCCTTTCCCCATACTCCCCCCCCAGGAACTCCCTATCCCGTTCCCCCTCCCACTGCTTCTATGAGGGTGTGCCCCCACCCATCCACCCACTCCCTTTATCAATGCACCCCTCCCATCATCTTGATAGGACCAGTCTGTTTGAAAGGGTGTGAACGGGGATGTTTTTCGTGGTGAACTGCTGAGCTGGGAGCAGGCTTCATCTCTTTTAGCTCCCTGCTGTGCAATACTAGAATGTAGAACTCACTGGCCTAAGTGGAATCTGACACGTACATAGATTTTAAAAAATAAAATCTGAAATTTCTCATGTTTGGGTAATCAGTATATAGCTGAAAAATTAGAAAGTATTTTTGTCACACAGTTTCTTCTAGAATTATGCTGAGCTTATGGTGGCACCATTATTTTAAAGTGGGAATTAACTTGAAAATAGTCACTATTTAAATTATATAAATCTAAATTATATAAATAGCCATTATATAAATTTTTATAAGTAATAATATTAATAAAGCTTCTATAAATAATAACATCACCTGCTGGACTTTCACTAAGTGCACTCTGTATGCTGGGTTCTGTATAAGCATCTCAGTGCATCTTTGTTGTGACGATGCCCTGTGTTCTGTAGAAGTTTGGATGTGTTCTTCCTTTGTCTCCACTAAACCCAGTTATGGGTCCCTCTGTACAAGCTATGACAACTCCATCTCTAGACACTGCTAATTGTCTCACAGGGTATAAAATTACCTCCAGTTGAGTGATTAGCAGTGTGCTAAGCATCTTCTATAAAATAATTTTTTATTTTCTAATAAACCTTGTCAATAGACGTTCCATGAACACAGTGAAGAACAGAGACAATTACCTTAGCTCAAAGAAAAACAAAGCACAATATTGAATCAATATCAAATCTGTCAAGTCAATGCGGCAAAGTCATTGTGGATTAGATTTAAACTTGGCTCCCAGTTTTCAAACACGGCACTACCATGAGGCAACGTTTTATACTATGCCAGCAAAAGCTGGGGTGAGAAGTTTATATTCAAACCATGTTCATGGCTCAAATAAAACCCAAATAGCCAGGAGACCAGAAAATACTAAGGCAACTGTTTCTCATCACCACTCATAGGACTGTCCCCTTAATGTCTCCAAGGGCAGAAGCTACAGATTTCCCACTGTCTCCAGAAAATGCTTGAAAAGCCTCCTGCAGCAGACACCACAATCAGGTTGCTTTCCTTCAACACCAAGAACGGCGCAGAGGGCAACCTGCCAGTTTCATTTCTACGTTTGCAACAGAGATCACTTAAAAATGAAACCTTATGAATCTGAGACATCATGGCTTGTACGAATTTCATCACATGTTATATCAGTAAGGAAGTAAAGTCAATGGAGAGAGTTCCATGGTTTGTAAGGCCTATCCTGACCCCACCCATGGGTGGTAAACTGAGAAAAAGGGCAGTGCCTCAGGAGTGAGAAATGAAATGATGGACAGAACTTAGGACCAATGAGTAAAGAAGTGTTCTTTTCAGCTCAATGTGGTTTTTTTTTTCTGATCATTTCGGGGGAAGGGGGCTTTCTGGAAGATCAGCATAATTCTAGCTAACTGTACCTTACAAAATTTTGGCCCCAGGGGACTTATTGAGCCTTCATAGCATCCGGCTGAATGGAAAACCCAGTGGTGATTCTTGTCCTAAAATTTCATCAGCATCTCTTAGCTCTTGATCAAAATCATCCGAACAAATTGAACATGACTGTTTGAAGGAAAAAGAAATCCTTTAAGACTTTACTGAGGATTTTTTTAAAAAGTGAATTTCCTTTATGGCTTCAAGATTTCAGAGGATCCAGAAATGAAACATCTACTTTATATCACACAATGCTGCATTTTGGGGTGAGATTATTAAGGATGGTAGAGTCCTATGGCAACACTCAACGCATCTTAGTATCATCAGACATGTTGACAAGATGAAAAATTGTACTAATTATTCTTTATATCTAGAAGACAAGAGGACTGGAATATAGCTACTAGCAGACAACAGAAGGGTCAGATATAAAATTTAAATATTATAGCAAGTGAGCATTCATTTCTTTTGCTCAACATCATGGCCTTAGGAATATTCTTGTTTACCACCAGCTAATTAGTGAGCCAATAATCCTTAAGCATGCAGACTGTCTTCATCAACCAGCGGCCCAAGTGATTTTCAAGTCTTCCCTCCTTTCACAATTTATCCCTGCAAATCAATTCTGAGTGAGTGTTTTGAACAGGTGTGCTTTTTTCCTATGGAGGCGTTTTGATAATAATCTATGTTTAACAAGCAAACAAAGAAACAAACAAACAAACCAGGTTTCAGACTTAACATCCTAGCTTGATAAGCAATTTTAGGCTTCTCCTGGATATTGTAGTAAAACTCAGTTCATGTTTCCCAATAAAGAGCAGACGACTCATTTATGCATCTCTTCAGTGAATAAATTGGTCTTTAAGATGTATGACGTTTACATGCTCTGAGCTTAATATTCGGGGTGGGGGAATCGCATTAGATAAATAGGTAAGAAAAGGCCAAGGAACAGAGCAAAGAGTGACAGAGCATGAAAGCCTACCAAAGGACAGCCTAATTAGTGCGGCATCTTAAATAACGTTAGCTGCAGGCTTTGCATGAACTGAATAGCTCCAAAAACAAAGGGGCTGGAAGTTAAGAGATGATAATGGTCACTTAGGAACCATTAGAGAAGATGACAAGTGTGACATAGTGCCTTGAACACAATCCCTGACAGAAGCCGGGGAAGGCAGAGCATGCATTCTTTGATTGCCAAATTAAAGCCAACAATCAAATCCCAGATGTTTCTTTATGACACAAGCCTCTAGAGGACCAGGCCATTGTGCTGGGGAATGATGCCCTACGCTGTACTCTTCTGTAAAGGAGGACGTGGGTATAGAGAACAGCAGTATCAGCTGAGGACATGTAAGCAGCATTCCGATTCTAGAGGGATTTCCTCTGGAATATTAAAGTAGAAACCCCTCAGCTCTCCTGGTGTTAACATGGCTGTATCCAGAGCTGGAAGAATTCTGGAGGCCATGAACTCTAAGCCTAGTTTTCACTGATCCTTGGGGAGTCATTGGCATGGCTAGCCACAGCCTGGGAGAATGAGAAGACAGGCTACCTCCTGCTGAATCTGATCAGCTCAGAATTAAGAATAGAATGTTTTAAAAAGAAATCGAACTTCCCTACTTTCAAGTAAGCACCTTCAACCACTTTGAGAGAGTATGCAAACAGTGGGGTTCTAGGAGACCGACTCTAAGGACATACAAATGACTTTAGTTTGTCAAGCTTCTAAAGTTGCTTTTGCAGGTTCAACAAGAGACTGTAATTGGTGTCCTGGGTTCCTCTTCTCTTCCCATTTAAAGCATACATCACCCTCATCCAAACAGAATATTACTTGAGACTCTACTGGATTCAATTTCCCCAGCTCCCTCCCACCAGCAAAGCACTTGGATTCATTACTACATTAAATCCCTGTAAGAACCGCACGAAATAAGCCCAGGAAGGTCAAACAAACAACCCAATGTTCCACAGCTACAAAATGACAGAGAGCTCTCCTTCACGTTCCCCATCTCATTTGTGAACAAGCAAACGGGCAGAGAGATATTGGCCAATATTTCATATTGACAATTGTTATTGTTCAAAGGTGAATTGTCCCAGAGGTTCATCCTAATTCCCAGATGGTAGCACTTTTGGGGACAGGGGGTTATAACTAGTGGAGATAGGTCATTGGGGGTTGCCTTTAAGGGTTGCAGATTGGTCCTGCTTGCTTTTAGCTCTGTCTCTCTCTCTTTCCTGACCTGCAAGATTTGAACAGCTGAGCCCCAGACCGCTGGCCCACAGACCGTACTGCACCCTGCCCTGCCAGACCAGTATCCCCTGAAATGGAAATTCAAAATACACTCCTTTTTCCCTAAGTCATCTCTGTTAGGTAGTCTATGTGATAGGAAAGAATCTCCATGGTAAAGTGAGTCTCAGTTCCCATCAGGTGACAGCAATTCATCCCAGTGCATGCCAAACTATACCTTTGTAAGTGGCAACTGATGACACAAGGCCACCAGCCAGATACAGAAGGGCTACTCTGTATTAGACATCTGTCGCCTATCACCATGAGACTCAGCCTTACAACTGCACCAACACGCTAATGACTGAGGTCACTCGTCCAAGGTCACCCAGCCTGCCTGGTGACGATTCCTCCCAGTTTGTAAAATGAGAACGGTGCAGAGAGACACAGAGAATATGCTGGTGGCAGGCCCGGGGCTGGACAGAAGGAAGCAGTGGGTAGAGAAGCATTGCTCACCTGACTCCATGCGCCAGCCTTCCATCTGGGACACCGTCCTCCTCGGCACCTTCTGTGCCCATGTGGCTTAGGAAGGTGCTTACAGTTATCACTCTCTAAATGGCTTCCATCTTTTGCCAAGCAGTAAACATTTCGATGTTTATGCCCTCGACCACAAGAGACAGAACACTGCAATATAAAGCAATGGCAAGGTTGTTGGTGTTTTTTTTTTTTAAATTACAGTGACTTTGATTTTTATTTTTTAAAAAAAAGGAAGAAAGAAAATGTGTAATGTGACCATAAGACCAAGTCTAATGAGAGTTACCATTACCCACTTTTCTCCAGTGCCATTCTAGAGAAGAACTGAAAGCCTTACAGAGGAGAAAGGTGGTAACAGAAAACAAAACAAAACCAAAAAACAAAACCAAAAAAACAAAAACAAAAATGCCCATGCATTGTAGTGATATGGCAGCAGCCCTGTGTGGCGTGTTGCTTTATACAGAAGCATGGGAAATCCCGACAATTTAACCTGAAAACTGCCTCTTGATTCTGAAATTACTATGTATGGCCTTTTCACTGAGGGAAGTCCTGCTATAAAACGGTAAAGCACATCTTCAATGAAATATCTCCTGATTCACTGATTGGTATGAAGGACATTTTCATATGACTCTGCTCAACTTTTTCAAGATTGTATTTAAGAAAACTCTCCATCTATCTCTTTAAGGGAAAAAAGCTCTCATTTTCCCAGCCCATTGGAAAGAGGTGAAAGAGGCAAGAGAAAAAAAAAACCCTGAAAAGGTTAGCTGGTGGGTGAGTCTGTGCCAACTTCAGGAGGGAGGCATTACCTTTCAACTTTGATCTGTTGGTTCACTGGACTGTTTTAAATGTGACCCTGTCTGACCACATCTAGGAAACTTGACTTTGATTTCAGATTAGGTTTCTCAGAAAGGTTTAAGAATCAAAGTGCCCATGGAGTCTGGACAAGAATTTGATGTGACAGCTTCTTGTAGAACAGGCAAGAGGCTGGCCCCAATGGACGTATGAGACATTCAACATCCAAGGCTTCGTTAGCAATTATGAGTCTTTACTCAACCATCATAAACTGATGGCTCAGATCTTTAAAGGCAGTTTATTTCCCAATATAATTGTCTTGTGTTCTAGAGGAGAGTAAATTTAAGAATGGAGAATAAAAGACAAAGTCTCAATGAAAATAGATTTCACATTACATTTCTCTTGATTTTATGTTTCTTATTCCCAACTCCTCCAGTAACTTTGTTATTTTTTTGGCTTAAATTACCATGCCCTTTTATGCCTAATAGACAAACAGTTTCATGTAAAACAAGGAGCTTAATACTAATTTTATCATTATTACCAGACATCCTCAATGTTATACCATTCATAAATGAGCCAAAAAGTTTTTCTGTTAAAAAAATATTATAAAATTTTCAACTGGAGCTGGTAGAGAATTTAAAATATGTATGTTTGTACATTTGGCTTTAACTTTTTACTTTAAGAAGTGAAATATTCATGAATATATGATTTAGAGTAGCCATTATGAAAATCTTAGTATTTTACAACTTGGAAGGAGAAAGCTGGTTGGAACGTCTGTATCTAAACAAAAATCTTCAACAATTAACCTACAGTGTTAGGATACATGTAGAGTACTCAATATCATTTTCAAAGGCTTCTTGTAATAAAGTTCTTAGAACTTCAGTCTCTGAGAACAGCTAATGATGTGCACAAAGATAATGTCTATTGTAAGTGACCAACTGATAATTTTTAAAATATTACTTCAATAAGAGTATGAAGTCATAATTACAATTTGGGATTAAGTTCATTTGCTTACTGAACCGAACATCTATTGTGTACATGCCATGTGATAGAAATTATATGACACACTGGAGATACAGTGATAACAAAATTGACTCTTCAGGGAATGTAGAGACCAGTCATGGTAATTAATATTGCTCAAGTGATGACAAAAATAAATATTGCATATGAGTATTCACTGAGTTGACTTCTAAGAAACAAATAGCTGGAGTGATTCAAAGAGGGCTCCCTGAGGTCTTCCATGGAGCCACGCCAGGAAAGCCTGAAGATCATAAAAATGAGACTGAATTATATTTGGCACATGATGGGAAATCTTAGAGGAGACTTAACTCAGGATAAGGAATAGTCTAATTTTTGTTTTGAAAATTCTACTCTGACTACGAAGCCAAGTATTAGATATGAGTACAGGGTTAGTGGAAATGTAAGAAACCACAAAGCAAGCCCGCCATGTTTGTGTTGACAAGAGCCACTGTGCTGATGATGGCTTGGATGACTATATAGAACAGAGGTTCTTAACCTGTGGGTTGTGATCCTTTGGTGGGTTGACTGACCCTTTCCCAGAGGTTACATATCATATATTTACATTATGATTCACAGCAGTAGTAAAATTACAGTTATGAAGTAGCAACCAAAATAATTTACTGGCTGGAGGTCACCACAACACGAGGCACTGTATGAAAGGGTTACAGCATTAGAAAGGTTGCGAACCACTGGTTATAGAAGGTTTGGGTGGGGACAGTTGTTAGGATTGTACCTTTTTCAAATAAAAATGATAGTATGGGTCAGATGTAGCATGAAGGGAAGAGGGCAAAAGGTGACATTCAGATTTCTGATTTGTGCAGCTGAACAGATGGTGATAAAATTTGCTACCATTTTAAAGATGGTACACACAGGGAGGAAAAAAAAAACACTGAGAGTCAATCGTGTTTTTATTTGTAGGAAATGGGTCTGGTAGAAAGCATAAGAATAGTAGGTGGTAACATTTGCTTGACTAGAGTTTAAAAAAAACTAGTTTTTTAATGCTCATCAAATAAACATGGGTGAAATTAGTGCAAATACATCCTTAGGAACAGTCATTTCAGTATGCAAGCTATACAAACAAGTTATCCCTCAATGTGAAGCGGGAAAAGAGAGTTCATGAGAGTTAATAATCTGCCAGGGTCATTAGATGACAGGGTCTAAATGTTGGTAATGATCTCTAGAGTCAGAATTAGAAAAGCCTCAACGTTCTCACATTCACTATGTGCTAGACACTGCCCTAAGAGGTTATCATCCCTAACGCTTGTATAGTTAAGCTATCCCAACCTCCCAATACACTTTGATAATAGAGATAGGTACTGTTACTCGAGATAAGTTGTGCTATCTGTACAACACTGCAGCCACAATGCCTTGAATTGTGTTTTGCACATGCTGCTCCAATACAAGTTAGATACACTTCTACTGGGAACAATGACAGTGCAATGAAAAAAAAAAAAGCAACCGAGAATTTTGCTGTCAGTGACTCATGCGAGGTCTGCCATTAACGTCATTGCCAACGAGTCAGTGATGAACAAACTAAGTTCTAAATACGACGAACCCTTCAATATATAGATTAACTACCCTCTATCCATCTCCAGGCACATTTGCTTTCAATAGGACTTGAATAGAAGTGGTGAAAGGAAAAAAAATGTTACGTTAGCATGATTCACCACACATGTTAGTTGCTTGGAGTTCTTAAGATCTCAAAGTGATTTAGAAATCCTCACGGAATCTCATCTGACAGTAAACACTCTTCATTCAATGTTTTCTAAATTACCATTGAAGAAAATCAGCTGTTCATAGAAATGCTCAAATCTACCATTGATGGGTCTACTATTATGACTTCATAAAGGAGGTATCACTCTGCTAATCAAATAAACACAGGTTCCAGCTCTTAGACTCCGAGGGAAAATTCTGTCTGATCATTTCGTCTTTTCCCAGGCAAAAGATGACATTTACATCAACCTTCGTCACCAACAGACAGTAGTTCTATTTAGTACGTCACCTAGTACTTGTTATTTACTGGATATGTATCTCAAAGTTCTTGCTCCTGAGAACATTTAATTCCTTACATTTGCAGCCGAAATAGCCTCCTAGTTTGTCTCTTAGGAAATGACTCAACATAGTTAAGAGACTGATTCTTCCTTGCCCCAACCCCCACCCCAAATTTGAGCAAGACTCCAAACAGCGCTATCACTGCTTGATACTTAGAAACACCAAGGTCAGCCAGTCCGAATGCCTGAGATTTCAAGCTTTTGTTTCTGTGAGGCCATTCAAAGGGCATGCTGGAAGCTGGGCTGTGGTCAGAAGTGCTGACGTTTTTTCCACTCACTAACATCTAAAAATGTGAAATCCTTGCATTTCAACTCAGCTGGTGGGAATGAAACTCAAGATGAAGGCAGTGTGTTTTTAGTTTCTCCCCAAAGGCTTAAGCTCTCTAGAGAAATAGCTCTATACATGAGGATGGATGTGGGTCTGGTGGCCCTGATCTTGGAGGATCCTGGCATTTGTCTTTTCCCTTGTGCTAAGAGTCATGTTTCCTTAGCCATCAAGAAGTCTGCAAACAACCCTGGTGTACATATCTGATAGAGAAGGATTCAATAACGAAAGCGAATGAGTTCTCTGGGCTGTGACACTGCTGAGGATATGGACATCCCTCAGTGATGGGGTTCAGTATGGACTTGGCAAGTTCATCGCAAAGAACTCAGAAGAAAGAAGAGGGGAATACAGAGGTAAGAAGAGGAGGGTGGCGGCCATATGTGCTCATGGAATATGGCTAGTAGGAAGCATCTGGGTGGAGCTTAAAGCATCTAGCTCTGGAAGACCGTGGGCCAGGACTGGCCAAACTGTACCATATGTCTGAAAGATGTGGGTTGGTGGGTGGTCCAAGATGACAGCCCTTGTCTAGTGTCTGCCTAGATGACTTGTAACCTTGAAAGATGAAGTTGTGCCTATGTGAAATGTGTAGTGAGGGATACTGTTCAACTAGCATATACTTCTAAGCCCAGGATTGATTACTTGCAGGTAGAAAAGAACAAGGAGTAAAAGACCAAGAGAATGCCATGTACCGGGGCCTATTAGCAAAAAATGAGATTCTTCTAAGTGAATCTGGCAGTCAGATGGGTAACATCATACTGAGGTAGGCGGATAGAGTTCTGTTTAGACACTGTGTTTATTACTTCTCAAAGTCTTTCTCTTCTGATTCTGTATAATTTGCAAAAATACCTAAATCATTACATTAAAACAAGAAGCTTTTCTTAATTCTCCTTTCATTTTGCCTTTCATAAAATAAAGTTACTGTCACCCGGAAAGTATGTCATCAGAGAGAATGCAAGGCCATT